TCTTGTGCAGCTGGGCACACCTCACTACAGAACCGACTTATCCCTAATTAAGCATAAAAGGTCCAAGGGTTTGGTGCCAAGGCCATTAAAGTCAAAGATTCATCAAAGGAACATGAATGTGAATAAATGAGTAACAGTCATAGCAACCTGCCCATTAGACTGTGATATTTCAAGTGTACAAGGAGAATATCTTCTCTAGTGAAACTGTGTCTCTGATTGCATCACCTCAGTGTCAGGAATCACATTCTCCCAGTTGAACTTTCACGTATCAGATTAATAACCAAATATTCATTTTTGAACCAGGAACAAGGAGCTCCAGAAGAATTAGGTGTGCCAGGTACATAATTAAAAAAAACACAAACAAAAAAAAAAAAAAAAGACAATACACATGTTATGCTGACAGCTATATAAATTGTATACGTGTACAGATCATCTTTTTACTTTGGGATGAATTAAGTGCTCTCTCATCTCAGTTCATGTTGTAGCTTTAGTGTTCACTAGGCTGTTGTATCATTGATGCAAGCCCAAGTACTGGATTGACTCTGTACTCAGATATTTTAGGACTAGCTGGGCCAAAACATTGGGGAATGGGGCCAAAAACCAGTGTGGGGAGTTGACCACTTCACCCTCACCGCCAACTGGGAAAACTCTGCCAAGTTAAATTTGACTTTGTGAAGCTCCCGTCTCCGTCAGGCACAGTTACAAACTGACAAGGAGTTTAACAATACAGAAGTGACACATCTCAGTCATATAGAGAGCGCAATCAGTAATTGAGGGGGGAGGGAGGCTAAAAACATCAGAGAGCTTACAACTAGCAACTCCTATCATATTTGTTAGAAACCATACTAATTAAGGCAGCTTTAAAGATGCAGAAGCACTGATGTTACAAACCTTATCAAAAATTCTTAAAAATCTAAAGTACAAGTTTCCAGCACAAAATTATAGCCAAACGACAAACAATATTTTCCTCACGCCTGTTTTATTAAACATTAACCCTCCTGTTATGCTGCGCGTCAAATTGACCCACGAACATAACTGCTTTAAATGAGACAAATATTTGATATGAAGAAATGAACATAACAGGAGGGAACCCTCCTGTTATGTTCATGACACAGGTGATGCCTGCTCAGCAGTCATGTCCGTGGGTCAATTTGACCCGCAACATAACAGGAGGGTTAAGACTCACTGAGAGGTACAGACAGACAGAGAGAGAATTCTTGGCAGAGGAGGTGAAGTGGTATCATGCAGTATGAGTCCAGTAAGTTAGTTCACGCTAAGTGCAAGTGCTGAAAACCGAGCTGGTACCAGAGATCCCCAAAGTGTCCACAGTAACATATCCATCCATTTCATCACTGCAGTTTCCTATAAGAGTGGTCCATGTCCTGAAGAGTCCGAAACCACTTGTATGATGTGCAACACACAGTACCGTTACATGTTTGAGAGATCCAGGCTGGACAGACGAGAAAGATTAAAGCCTTCACATGGAAGAGCTTTTTCCATTTTCACATCATCAGCTTGGGTCCCGCTCCAAAGTCCAACCTCTTCACCAGTCTGTAAAACACAACACACACGCACGCACACTCAGAAAAGCTTCATCTTTGTCTGTTGTAAATTTCCATACAGCATTAGGAAAAACTACATTTACTGCGTCGCAATTTTATGCCTCCATCAACCAGTCAAATTCATGGGTGTAAACGTCATACTCTGAAAACCACCTTTTAAAACTGGGTCTCTGGGACCAAGACCAAATTGTCAAGAGGCACCTTCACTCAGTATAAAGTCAGTGGAGTGAGATGAACTGTTTTACCCTGTGATGTGGGTGTGGCCTAAATGCACTGTCTGCATGGGACAGTGGTGAGGTCACTGACCTTTGACCACCAAAATATTTCTTTTTAAAAACCTGCAACATGTTCCATAACATTTGTTTTCCTCTACTAGTCTGAACATGACAGCCGTCATTCACTGTGCGGGACAGAGCAGCTCACCCCTTGTTGTAGAGGCCATTGGCAGGGTGGGTCTCAGAGGAACTGTTCTGGCCTGCTGCTGCCGCGCCCTGTCCTCCAGTGTGGGTTCTGCGGTTAACCGACTGCTCGTGGATGTATTCCCGACACGATGCCAGCTTGGACTCCAGGTTCTACAAGAAGGGAAGATAAAATTGATTCTTCTGTAAACAAACATTCAGCTACAGCAACAACACTACTATCACTGCATTTCTAGTGAAAAGAACTGATATGCTCATTACGGTCAGGTGTCAAGATAAACCTAATCTGCACTAGGGATTCACTGCATCTCTCTATATGGCAGTTAAAAGCTTTCCTTGCCTGATGCAAGCAGAGGTCATGATGTGAAGTAGTGGTGTGCGATATTACATAATCTACGATATCTTAATTGCTATTTAAACAATGTATGAGCTGACATTATGTCAATCACTTTACAAAAACAAATCATCCTTTGAGTATCATACAGCCAAAACAGGATAGACTACTGCACATGCTCAGGCACAAGTTAATCTAGTACAGCTGCTTAAAAAAAAAAAAAAAATGTATTGGCAAAGATAAAAAGGCAGCACCAGGACACAAAACAGATGCCACCACCTCAGCAGTCTACGTTGTTAATTACTAGATATGGATCATTCTCACTCATATGGAGGTATCTGGGCTTTGAAAAGATGGATGTCATTCAAAAGACAGATGAGAGAGAAAAAAAAAAAACACTATCAGAAATCAATTGCTGTAAAGACAACTCTGTTTCACCATCTGCAAACTAACCACTGCACATAATATGAAAAGCTTCGCGAGCCAACTGTCGACAACAGGATTAAACCAGCCAAGGTACCGCCACAGTAACACTCAGCAAACTTTAGTGGAGTCATTCTGCAGTGTTTGTGTACTCTTACTTTAATGGTCCAGTTTTGAGTAAATAAATGACTTTTTTTTCTTAAATGTCGTTTCCATTAATATCCCATCAACAAAAGCAACCTTGTAAAATATAAAACATTTTTGAAGGATGCAGAATATCACCTGTTTACTATTAGACAAAATCCCTGTAAATACAGATTTTGTTTTTCCTGTCAATGTATAAAAAGATGCAAAAAAATACAACCTTTATTAGGGGCATAAATCACAAGTTCCCGCACAATTCTATTAGCCAGCAAACCCATGTTTGCTGACAGATACAGCTATGCCACAATGAGAGTATGATTAGCCCCGTGGGCTTGTTTAGTGACTCATAATCTCCACAGACAGCTTCTTAAATAGCACTAATCCCTTGTTATTTACTGTATGTGCTACTTTCTACTGGCATCTGTAACAACTGATCAGACCCCTTGGTGCCACTGTCTGGTTTCACTTCCTCCCAGCCCCTGTAACAAGGCGGGGAAATCAATGAATCCACCCAATATATTTCTGCTGTCAGTTCTGGTGAGGACCGTTTGGCTCATGTGCTCAGTGGCGCTGCTGATGTCTCGTTTTTATTGTGAACTACCAGTCAAAGAACTAGAATTCCACATCCCTTGACTATTGTTGTCCAATGTGGAAAGAATATGCAGTCCAGCAGAAATGTGAAGCGGATGTGGAGGTTTACATTTACTAAAGATGAAGACTGATGTATCATTACACCTCTAACCTTTTCTTTTTTTGAAACATGTAGGCATTAAGTACATCAATGTCGGGACAAAATGTCACAGTAACACCTGCCTCAACCAAGTTAACCAATTGACTGATGCCTCAACAGGGTTAACCTTAGAGCCATGGCACTAGTACGGCTAGAACACCAAAAAGGTTCATCGAAAAGGTTTCAACTCTTGTAAGAAACTTAACCTGTGCATTCAATTTAGTCATTTGAATTTGCATTCGTGCTTTCATTTTCACACGTCAATTGTGCAATGTTTATTTGCTTTTCATATTTTAATAATTGGAGTGGCAGTTAATAATAGAAGTTTATTATGTGCAACTCAATATTGCAATGCACTGTGTCCAAAGAAATAAAAAATGCATTATGTTCAGATGTTTCCACCCCTGAGATCATGGAGTTTCCATAACCTTCAGTTTCAGCACATAGTGTTTTGAGTTGTCTGCATGAT